TCACTTGAGCATGGTAGTGGCCGCAGTGTGTGTTATCCTTCCAGAACACCCGGTACCACTTGTGAGGATCGAAATAGCCCGTATCCTTCGGATTGATGTACGTACATGCAGTTACATGCAGTTACTATTAATCTTTAATTATCATCGCGGAACCAAACATCTTGGAGAATTGCGAGTGTACAGGCGCGATACTGAGCAATTAAGAGACGCAACAATGTTCACATACACGACACACGCACCAAGGCCGCCACGAACTTGCTATTGATGACGATGGCAGTGCCATTTGTGAATCAACTGAGTAGTTTATGCAACCACGAGTCCACGACTTCCTCAACACGACGCAATTTAGTTTTTGAAAACAAAAATATTTGTTTGCAAAACAATTACTCCATGTTTTTACAACTTTATAGGGTAGTTTTTTAGAGCTCACAGCAAATAATATATAAACAATGAATGCAATTACTGTAAAATGGTGACGCTGTGCATAGCCTCCGAGAGGGCAAACGCGCAATGACGGGCGCGCAGCGCCAATTTCAGAGGTCATGCGCTGTGTCGTCATATTCGCGTTTGTTAGGCTAGGTGGCGTTAGCCGCCGCCCAATTTAAAGGGTACAGCCATATTAATTCATTCATCTATCCATCTATCACATCATTATGGCTACAATCATCTAGCCATAATGGCAGTCAGCGACCACCATGGCGACGACCACCTTCCTCCGTGGCGACCACAGTACAATACACCTCAAGCATGCGAGGTGTTCTGTAGGGTCACAACCTCGCGCCGTGATCTCGCGGCACATGTTATAGTTTTCGGCAAAATCCGTGCCACGTGCTTAACACTCAAGGCACAGCAACCAGGTGTTGAATGGGAAGCCTTGGTCGATGTAATCGATCTTTCACTTTTTATCAGTCCCGCAGCCTCATTTTGCGTGGACACCATCAAGCGCGCTATTTGAACTTTGTGTCAAGTTCGACGAAAGATGGATTGGATTCAACTCAACCCCAGCCTCGATCAAAAAGAAAAAAAAAAAACGCTATTTGGAGCCTGGATCGCAATATGTAGTACCTCGGACAAGGAGCGGTGGAGGCGCAGTCGGCCAGCCAGCTACACTCAGCAAGAGCATTCCTCAGTCTTTAGCTGGTAATTGATGTTCTGGAGTAGCGGCGTTCGACACGTGAAGTCTGAGTGATGCGCATGGTGAGAGCAATGAAAATCCTGATTCCGACGACACTTACGGCTTCGAGGAAAACTCGCTCAGCGATTCTGACCGGACTGCAGATGCGGCTCACGACAATGTTGGCATGAGCGACACTTTTTAAATGCAATAATGGCATGTATTTTACACTGGTGCATGTCAATAAACTGCCAGGCTCTGTGTGTGTGCTCATGTATGTGAGGCTTACATCAAAACTATCCAAGAACACATCTCACATTAGTATTTGCTCAGAAACAGAGAAAAAAGTTGTGCTTCTGCCGAAGGATGTGGCCAGTGTGTTTGCACATGAAAGTTGGATGTGTTTGCTATGTTGCTGATGTACCAAACTTGTTTAAAACTTGTGACATATATAGCCAGTCTAATATGAGTTTAGTTTAGCAAGGTAGGACAACTAAGTGTTGGCTTGATTCTTTCTATTGTTGTTCTCTTCACAACTGAACTTTTCTCATGGTAGGCAGTTTCTTGTGTGTGTGTGTGTGTGTGTGTTTGTGTGTGTGTGTGCATGTGTGTGTTTGTGTGCATGTGTGCATGTGTGTGTGTGTGTGTGTGTGTGTGTGTGTGTTTTGCAGTCAAATGCTTTAGCTTTAATTAGTACATGGTTTTTGGTTTATCAATCTTGTGAGGATTGTAGGCAAGTAATATAACAGGTCTGTGCCACCGCTTGGGCTTTGTGAAAAGACACACCTGTGAATAATAGATGCTGCTATCAACATATCAGCCAAATCTTGCAGCTGCAAGTGTCTTTTTTCATATAGATGACTGTACTCACTTCGAACTTTCGGATGCCTGTATGTAGTGTAAAACAACTGAAAGCATGCTATTGGCCTATAGCCAAAATAAATCAAGAGCAGCGTTTCTAATCGAATGTGCTTCTTGCCACAGTGTGCTGCCACATGCTGGCACTGCTGTCCAAAATCTTCTAACATTGCATAGTCACACTCGCACATGGGAATGATAACACGAAAAAGCTACTGTGTTTCTTCAAGCATGCTCTAGTTCATAATGTGTGCTGACATATCGCACTTCTTTACTACCATTCCTCCCTGTAGTTTTCGGCACAGCTTGTTGGGACCGACGAGAAAAAAAAGAAAGCGGTTGAAGTGCGCAATAAACCCCTCAACTTGCTTTGAGATATTTCTGGCTGTGGATTTGCGAGGCATTAAGTTTTGATGGTGAGGTCAATTAATGATTACTCAAAGAAGCATTTCATTGTTTCTTTAAAGTATCTCATCCAGTATGGATTATGACACTAATGTAGTGGCTCGCCATTAAAGGCAAAGCACAATGTGGGAGAGACAGCTGGGGTTGGCTTGTGTTGTGAAAGGGAGAAACTACAGCACCACCCGAGGCTTTCGAATCCACGCCGTTTCGAAAAATTATTGTATCAGCATGCTCATTTCACAGTAGTGGACTGATTATTAGGTTATCTCCCTTGGAATGTTTACTGGCCCTATAACTTACAAATTAGAAATTCAGAAATTATGTTAATATAGCCGTGTGATGTGAAGTTTTGATTGTATTGTTTCAAGTTATGTTTATACTGTCATCTGATTAGCTTTGGATACTAGTATCTTGAAATTTCTAGATGTCATCTATCATTTTCAGCATTAACTGTGTTGCTATCTGGCACCTGCAATCCCATTTGTACACGGAATAAAGCTTTTATCTAGGCTGAAAGCCGCTTTGCATATTTAAAGCTCAGTTTGTCAATTATGCACCACCATAAAACATTGTACATTCTATTCTACGCATCCAAAAGCTGCCAGTTGCACTCTTTGGGTCATCATAATATTTCACACAATGGTCGTCAAGTGTTCAATAGAAAACACTGATACACTAATATACATGCAGAAGTGACCAATCACATATATGTGGGCAGTGTGTTCATATAAAGAACCACAGTTAAAATGACAGTAATGCATCTTATAAAGATCCAATAAATGAACAAAAGACTAAAAACCTATAGACTAATACATGCCATATAAATGACCAATCAAACTTATTCAAAAGCTGGTGGCACTGGTAAGACTGTGTATCACTCTGATATGAGACTGGTAGCACTGGTAAGAAAATGTATCAGACTGATATGGATGTCTATAAGAACTGGTAAGACTTTGTATCAGTCTGGTACAAGGCTGGTACAACTTATAGGAAACTGTATCAGACTGATTCAGACCTCTATCAGAATTTTCGCTAGGGAAGAGCCATCTCCTACACAGCCAACGAGCTCGGAGTTCACACGAGCACTGATGACACTGTCAACGGTGTACAGCGGCAACATTACGTTGACTGAAATTCAGGCAGACATGATGGCGGGCAAGTAAAACGCCGTGTAAAAGTAAACAGGCGACTTCTTTGCACCAAAGTGCTGACCTATGACGTAGCGTGGGCCACGTCGGATTTTTTTTTTTTTATGAACGACTCTTTTCGAAGCCACCTAAACAATGCATTGGCTGAATTAAATTGGGAATCTTGTACTCCGGCCATTGCCCTTTTTGCAGCGAAAAATACCTACAAAAAAAGGTGCGTTTTTACGTGCAGTCGTTTTTCCAGACTGGCCGATTTTCCGGACGTTTTCGCAGTCTTTTGAGGGTCCGGGAAATTGGACGTCGACTGTAGTTACTTGACTACAAAAAGTTTTTTGTTGTTCCACTGTGGCTTGAGATCACTGTTTCATGTACCAACATCACATACTCAATTGCAACTCTACGGAACTGCCCACATTCTTATTCATGTCCACATGTTGGAAAACTAGAAGTGTTTGTGTCTGCTGGCATGATTTTGGGCAGGGGTGAACATTAATCACTCAATATCTTGGCATTGGCAGTAAAAATTGTTGAGCAATGTATTTTTTTGGTTGGCCACATAAGTTGTGTGATTGACTCACTATCAGCACATTATTGCAGAGGTGAGTGGTCGATTTAATGAATATTAGCAGTAGTCTAGTGGCAGTCAACCAAGATGACTGAGTAGCCCCATATGCAAGCATTTCAGGCACAGTCATCATCTTCATCAACACAACTCTAGCTCATGTTCATATTGCTTCCCAACAATATGTAAGATGCAATAAACACTTTTTTTGTTTTTTTCTGTTTGTTTACACTGATCCGTGGTGTTCCCTTTTTTACTGCGAAAGCTGTTATCACAATAAGGGTCCCACAGTTGTCCACCACAGCTGGTGTCCGTAACTGACATTCTGGGAAATGAAAAAAAAAAAAAAAGTAATAAGAAAAATATTCTGGATGGAATGGCTTTCGAGCCTGGGTCCTTTCCTTGGCAGCCCAGTATTTCACCACAGTGCCTACCGGTGCTCCCAACTCCTCCGTACAAAATCCCTATACAACCGTCATGTCAGCAGGGAACCGCGTTAACATATGTAGTATATATAGCTGGGTAGAAAAATAGAATTTTGGCATCTGGGAATATGTATTGTGTAACGGGGTGTCACACAATAATAATTGTGCAACGAGTGGTTCGTTAAATGCTGCCAATCTATTACAAAGGGTTCAGCTATAGTTATTCATTATCAGCCACCAAAATAATTTATGGAGTAGGGGGTACCTTGCAAGCGTACTTGTATTACTAGGTCCAAGAGAGTTTACAGCTGGTTCAAAAAGTGCCTCATTTCTAGCTTTTGCTGGGACTGTACTGGGATATCCGTGCAGGCCTGGTGTTTTTGCTCTTGAACTTCATCGTATTGTTGCTGTAGCAGTGCACATGTATCCATCAAGCATGAATATATTCAACGCTCTCTGAATGAACCAGCGGCATGTATGTGGTGCAGCGAGCCCTCGCAGCCAGTGGCTCAAGTACAGCGAGCCCACATCGGGGCGGCAGACCTGGGTGCAGCATATGCTGTCCCAGTGGGCTGAGGGTGGGCCATCGTCTTCGTCCACACCGGGCAGCAACACACCATCATCACGTGACTGGCGCACGCTCATGTCCAGCTGCCTGCTTGTGCGGCTCGAGGAGTTTTCCATGCAGCAGGTGAGGTGTCCCATCATCTACTGCATTCTGAGTGGGACAAACTATAGGCGGAATATGATGACAGAAGGAATGAAAGTTCCTTCGGAACCATCTCCTTTTATTTTACAAATGAAATTCATTATTGCTCTGTCTGTTTTTCATTTTTCGGCAAGCTACAGTGGTCACCGCTTAAGCTGTGTTAATAACACACCTGTTAACTAGATGCAGTCGAATCTCAATAATTCGAACATGCCTAATTCGAGCTTCTGGTTATTTCGAACTCACGCTGAGGTCCCCTCAAAGCTATGTGTATTCCAATGGGCCAAAAGCCCTGTAATTCGAATGTGCGAGCACTTGCGACGGTTAATTCGAACATACCGCTCTCTGAAAATGCTTTCAGCACCACGCCCGATCCCGTGGCGGCACCTCTAACACCTCAACGCTGGGCGCGAAGGAAAAGAAAAGGAAAGAAAAGGCTGTGGTAGAATGTTTGCTTTCTCTCAAATGCCGATCTGCGACGCGCCTGTGCCACGCTTCTCCTTTTTCTGTCCCTGCCACGTAAAGACCCTTCTCCTTTCAATGCCCTGCGCGAAAAGTGAGAGGGGAAAAAAAGGCTGTTGAGTGCTGGCTCTCTCTCATGCACCGGTGCCACGCTTTCCCCTTTCTTGTCCCTGCCATGTAGACCCTTTTTCTTTCTACAACCTGCTTGAAGAGAGAGAGAGAAAAAAGATGCTGCCATGGAGTGTTGGTTCTCTCTCAAATGCTGATCTGCTTCTCTCCGCATGGAGACGCACCTCCTTTCTCGTCAAGTGCTGGCCACGCTGCAGCTGTGGTGCAGAGGGTAGTAGCGGAGACGCAGTCGTTGTTGTCGTCGTCTTCAGAGAGTGTTGGTGCTGGACGTTGCCGCGCGTTACTTCTCTTGCCAGGAAAATGCTGAAGCCGATGTAGCAATGCATTGCAAGCTGCGTGCGAAATCGATTGACCCGCTGCAAGGCAAACGTGTGCAGACGCGCATCAGCGATTACTTCAAATAATGACGGATGTCCTGTGATTAGCGAGTACAAGCCTTCTGAGACTTCCCCCTCGTGTGTTAGCTCAATGCACATGCGTCACTGCACGGTGAGCCTTCCTTTCTTTTATCCTTCATTAATTCAAACTTTTTTTAATTCAAACAAATTTTTGGGCCCCTACGAGTTTGAATTATCGAGATTCGACTGTATCTTCAATAGCTGTGTAACTCAAAAGCACCTCGTCCATTCAGACAACTAAGTGTGTCCCATTATGATTGGGAGTGTTTTATGTGCCAGAACAGCATGGTTAACATTCACTTAAATATAAGCACACAGGTGTTTGTTGCGTTTCACACCCATTGAGATGCGGCCACCATTGCCAGCGATTTCCAGACTTTTTTCGAACCCATAAAAGTGGCGTTTTCATATGCCTTCTTTAATTTAAAAAAACATTATGCAGGTTAGTTGTGTCGTGACAAATATACTAATATCCCTGTATTATATGATATATGCTATTTGAATTCGATTCAAAATTAATCTTTCAAATCACTATTTTCTTCGAAGTTGCTTAAAACCTAAGCGGCGACACAATTTGAGTACTCACAATATTCTCTTCCAAATGATGGCCAGAACGATGTCCTAGTACAAGCTGGGAGCTAATCCTTCAGCTTCACAGTTTGCAGTAATTATTTCACTGCATCATTCTTCACACTCTGTTGGCCATTGCAGCTAAAGTATTGAAAGAAATAGTGGAGCTTGTTTTGGAGGTTGCTAGGCGTAAGATGTTGACTTATAAACATGTGACATCGTGCATGCTCCATTTGCATTCTGTACATGCCACAGAGAATTTGGAAGTTGATGTAGCCAACCAGTTAAAACAAATGAGTGGGTTCTTTGAAGGCAGCTAGTCTTGCTATTACCGTATGCACGCATGTAAGGGCTGCACCCGTGTAAGGGTCGCATCCCGTTTTTAAGAAGCACATATTAAAAAAAAACAGTTGCGTGTAAGGGCCGCAGCCGCATTTTTTTTGACCAATACGTATTCAAAATGCGCGCGCGTGTGTGAGCTATTAGGCATTGTCATTAGATGGCGTTAGAGAACGCAATTCTCATCATCATCATATAGTACGTCATTAGAATAATTTGTTGGTTTTCTTCATGCTAATATGTTCATGAAGTTGGCTAAAAATTTCAAGTTTTTTTAGTAGTGTTCATACACCCGCCAACTAAAGGTTAAAGCGGGATTTTATCTTTAACTTCTGACACTTCTATACAAACGCGCTATTCATATCGGCATTAGCATCACCAACTTTGGTATTTGTGCGTTTTTTGGTTATTGTGCTGTTCAGCCTGCCATGTGCTTGAGTTTTGCGCACCGTTGAATGACTCTGGGACTATAGCTAGTTTTCTGCGGGACGTTTACATTTTGGCACGAGGGGCAAGCAGCTGAATAGCTATACAGCTGGCTGTAAGTTGAAGGTGATCGAGTTTGCTCTCGAGCATGGGATACGGGCCGCCGGCAGAAAATTCGACGTTGACGAGAAGTGTGTTCGACGTTGGTGCGCTCAGAAGAAAGCCTTGCAGAACACCAACATTAAAAAGCGCGCTTTCCGAGGAAAACAGTGCAAGTATCCTGATTTGGAAGAGGAGTTGCTCCGCTATGTGACTGAGGTGCGGAACGATGGTTTTTCTCTCACTACGGACATGCTGTGCATGAAGGCACTAGCCTTGGCACGTGCGAAAAATATACCGGCCGGGGATTTCAAGGCTGGTGCTGGCTGGGTGCGAAGGTTTCTGAAAAGAAAGGGACTCTCCTTTCGGCGAAGGACCACGCTGTGCCAGCGGCTGCCAGAAGACTATACCGACAAGGTGCTTAGTTTTCACAAGCATGTTATCGGCCTGTGTCATCAGCACAATTGTCTGTTGTTGCAAATAGCGAACGCTGATTAAACACCTGTGTGGTTTGACTCTCCCGAGAACTACACAGTCGGAAGTAAAAGGCAAAAAGAATATCGCCTTGCGGACCACCGGCGCTGAGCGCCAACGCTGCACCGTGATGCTTTGTGTCACCGCGGATGGGCGGAAGCTACCTTCGTACGTTGTTTTCAAAAGGAAAAGAATTCCCAATGAAGTTTTCCCCAAGGGCATCATATTTAGAGCCCTAGAGAAGGGATGGATGAACGATGATTTGGTGCTTGACTGGGTGAAAAGTGTTTGGCAGAATAGACCCGAAGCTTTGTTGGCGAAACATTCACTTTTAGTGTTGGATAGTTTCCACGGCCACCTTACCGATAAGGTGAAGGAGCAGCTGCGCCGTGTCGGCACAGACATGGCCGTGATTCCAGGGGGCCTCACAGGAATGTTGCAACCATTGGATGTGAGCGTGAATCGATCGTTCAAAGTTGAATTCCAAAGACTCTACACGGAATGGATGGCAACCGGCAACCATGAGCAGACGCCGACCGGACAGCTGAAGAGGGCACCGCTTGCTACTGTTCTCGGTTGGGTATTGTCGGCATGGAGCTCGGTGCCGACGGACATTCTGTCCCGAAGTTTTAAGGTCACTGGGATATCCAACAGCCTGGATGGCACAATGATGGTGCTCCGCAACACACCATCTCGGACTCCGAGTTAGAGGACTCGTCGAGTGACGACGATTAAGCGCACACGCCGTATACTGCAATAAACGCTCTTCGTTCGCTAACTGGTACGTTGTTTTTAGTTCACAAAAAAAAAAATTTCTGTGTATGGGCCGCACCCTGAAAATTGGCCCTCCTTTCCTGAAAAAAAGTGCGGCCCTTACACTCGTTTATATGGTAGTTAAACACAAAATGCATGTTAAATGTGATATTTCGCTTGTTACAACTTTAGTGGGCGTCATTGACGATATGCTTTTGAAATTCTCACATAATTTATACTCTGACTTTCTAGACTCCTAACATAAGAAAAAAAAAGCGTGCGAGTTTCGCAAGTACATAAATATAATTTGCTGTTTTGGTCTTCGTGAATATCATAGAGATAGTTTTTTGTGCTGCCTGCACCACTGTACATTGAAAGATACGTAGCTTAGGCACCTTAATGGAATTCTTACAACCCCCTTACAGTTCAAGAAAATTTGTTGGGAAGACGAAGCCATATCTTTGGTTCCTTCAGGTTGTCAGTGAGCGCTTACACTCAGTCAAGCCCGAAGCAATGACTCAGGCGTGGTGTGCTTCTAAGGCAATCGACTGCAAGCAGGTGTAATCCTTATCATTTCTTCACTTCACATCAGGTATGCATGGCAGGGCGTAGCCAGCGTCGGCCGTTCCTGGCTTCGGAGGGTGCCACCGTGCTACTTCCAGGGGAAGCCCTGCATCTCGAACTGACCCACTACTACGCGCGACCTTCGCCGGCCACGACACCCGTCACGGCCAATGGCCACGTCAGGAGTCCGGGCTCCGGCAAAGGCAGCATCGCGTCGTCGCTGGCCGGCAGCTCCGTGCCCGAGCCGCATCTGTTCGCCTACCTGGGTCCCACTGCATTACGGCTGGACCTTGCCACTGTGCTTTGGGGGCACGCTTTTCTGCACAGCGTCCACAAGTGCACGGTGCGTATGTGTGCGTCATTACTGTGGTCTGTAGATACAGAAAGAAGCCACAATTCTCGGATCAAAACATCTGAAAGCTTAATCGAGGAGTCTGATAGCCTCGTAATAATACAGTCTAATCTTGATAATTGGAACTAAAAGGGGCCAGAAAATTTGTTAGTCAAAAGAAGTTCGTATTAATGAAAGCTAAATGAACTGAGAGCTCATTATGCAGTGGCGCATGTGCATTAAGCTAACACACGAGGGGGAAGTTTCAGAAGACTTGCATTTATTCACAAATCACAGGACACCCGTCATTAATTGATGTAATCGGTGGTTCGGGTTTGCACATATTTGCCTTGCAGCGAGTAAATCAATTTCGCACGCAGCTTGCAAAGCATTTCTACTTCAGCTTCAGCATCCTCCTGAAAATAGAAGCTGCGTGCGGTAATGTCCAGCGTCAACACTCACTAAAGACGATGGCAACGACTGCGTCTCCGCTGCTACCCTCTGCACCACAGTCGGAGCGTGGCCAGCACATGACAAGAAATTAGGAGAGAAGCAGATCTCCACGCGAAGAGAAGCAGATCTCCACGCGAAGAGAAGCAGATCTGCATTTGAGATAGAACCAACACTCCACGGCAGCTTTTTTTTTTTGTGCTCTCTTCGCACGCGTTGTTGAAAGGAGAAGGGTCTACGTGCAGAGACGGGAAAGGGGGAAGCGTGGCACCTGTGTGTGAAAGGGCCAACACTCCACGACAGCTTTCCAGCTTTTTTTTTTCCTCTCAGCTCAGGGCATTACAAGGAGAAGGGAGAAGCGTGGCGCAGGCATGACGCACATCGGCATTTGAGAGAGAGCAAACGTTTCACTGCAGCCTTTGCTTTTCTTTTCCTTGGCACGCAGCCTTGATGTGTCGGAAGTGTCGGAGCGGTATTGGGCGTGGTGGTGAGAGCATTTTCGGAGCACGGTATGTTCGAGTTAACCGTCGCAAGTGCTTGCGCGTTCGTACTACAGGGCGTTTTTGTCCATTGGAATACACATGGCTTTGACAGGACCTTATCGTGAGTTTGAATTAACCGGAAGTTCGAATTAAGCGTGTTCAAATTGATGAGATTCGACTGTATTATATGGCATTTTATGTACCAAGAATATGACATGATTATCGTAAACCCGTAGTGGAGGGCTCCAGAAATTTTGATCCTGCGTTGTTGTTAAACATGCAAAGTCATAGCAAAGTACACGGAACTCGGGCATTTTGCCGTCATTGAAATGCAACCGCGGTGGCCAGGACAGAACTTGCGACCTTCGGGTCAGCAGATGAGCACCGTAACCGCTACACCACTGCGAAGGATTGCGTTGGCTTAACCATGTCTTTCACGAGCTGACAAGGCGTAAAGTTAAACCAGGATATAATAAAATCAATAAATTCCACAAAAAATTTATTATAAAAAGGATTTCGTTATGTACAGGTTCGGTACGAAAATTCTGAAAATGAATGCACAAAATAAACAAATGGGGGACAGAAGGCAAAGCTAAACTAATACACTTATCCAGCTGTAAAAAACTGTTATTATTGCAATAGCAATTATATGGACACTCTCGACGGGTTTCCACCGTCGCTGCCATGTTTTGTAGCAAGGCTAAACTGATAACATGTCCCCGTGCATTGTAACTTTCATGAGCGGGCAAAAACGTGAGAGCGCTGCTGAAGCAGAGATAAAATGAGTCGGCCCATCTCTAATCGCCACGAAGGTGCACAAGATAACATCCCCCGCGTGTTACAACTGCCGTCAAATGCTCAAACAGAAATGAAGCCACCCGTCTTGAACGAGCTGGAAAAAACGCGGGTGGGGGGGTCGCTCGAGTAGCAATAATGAACTTTTTTTTTTAAGGGTAGTCGCAATCGTTGGTGCCTGTGCTATCTTGGCAAGTATATTAGTGCACTTTCAACGCGAAGACTGTGAAAAAGAGCACTTCTCCCTGGAGCGGCCGTGTTTGCTCACACTGCGTTTTGTAGGAATCCCGTGATACCAGATTCAAAAGAGTTGGCTGCGAGCCTTATTTTGAATAACATTACAATTTTTTTTTATCGAGTTCAGTGTATCACATTTAAGGCGCTGTCGTGTTGTTGTCAGAGCTAACTGACTAATTGTGAAGGCTACAAGCCTGTAAACTCATGGCGCAGCGCACGACCGAAGCACATGGCAAGTCGACCTCCAAAGATCCGTCATCACTGGTGTCTCGGAGAGTTTCCATTAGCGCATAATAACCCCTCGGCAGTGACGACACGATTGTTGACAATAAAAAAAGGAAAAGAAAGCATAGATGTACATCGTCGGGTGCCACACCTTGCATGCGCAAGGTGTGGCATCGAAAAAGAAGAGGGAATGACACGGATACCACTGAAAATTATTCTGTAAAGCGCCCTCCATATGCAGCGCGACCCCGCAAATGTATGATGCTAACTGAATGCAAGGCACTGCCAACGCAAAAGTAGTTGTCTTTATTTTTGTTGGGAGGGAGGGAACATTCATGCATGCGCCCATTGTGGCAAGAACGGCGACAGCGCCGGCACGTCGGGCAGCAGATACTCCTGCTGGCCTTGCACTATCTCACACGCTCTAACAAAGGCTCGCTCTCGCCTGGTTGTCGCCAGGGTCATGAGAACGCAGAGCGTGCCGCTGCTGCTTCATGCTTTGTCGGTGGCGGGACACCCGCAGAAGTTGCATGCTCGTACCAAAAATGACGAAATCTGGGGTGAAATTCGTAGATTGTTCCTAGGGAAAGTTTGTTATATCGAGGTTGTCTCCCGCGGTTACTTTGTTACATAGAGGTGCTTCAATAGAGCAACAGCGGGAAATAGAAAATTTTCGTTATACTGAAGAATTTATATGGATATTTATTATAAGCAGGTTTAACTGTATCTCTGAGGCCACGTAGAGAAAAGCAAGTGGTTGCGATGTGCTCCTCCAGGTGGCGCAACAATCCCAGCTGTTTGTAAGAAAAAAATTTATAAATCTGTCTTAAACGAACTCAGTCGATTGATTTTTGTTAATTACCATGACAGTTGGCCCTTATATTATGTAAACTTGTACTGTGATATAATGTGCCTAATGTAACTCTCTTAATGGGCCTCTCACCAGGCCCCATAACGAATTTTAGTTAGACAGTGGAAGTTGTTGGGTGTCCGATGAGGAACGTTTTGCCACAAAAATTTTTCGAATCGCTTCATTACAAGCGGAGAAAACAGGTTTTTTGAAGCGACGCGAAACGAGGGTGAGAGGAGGCAAGCTCGAAACCCTTGCCGCTCTTCCGCGTCACCTTTGCAAGCCAAATCTCTTCCCCACACTCTCCTGCATCCGACCAAGAGGTGACGTGCACCTGACGTGCCCGAACAAGCCCAGCCCCCGTGCACGCGAGCGGCGTTGCTTTGTTGACCAACGTTATTTTGTGGTCTTCTGCCTGTTTCTGCGGGATTGTTTGGAAATGCTGACTTAGACGCGGTAGAGTAGATGAGCACAATGAGTGCGCGAATGCGTAGGAGCGTTCCACGGTGGTCGTCTTCTCAATTCGCTGACCGCTGGGACCTGAACGCATGCGAAACGCTGGCACATTAGCCTCGCATCTCGTAGCATTTCACGGGAAAAAAATGTAAGAAAAACACCTGCAATTTTTTATTGCGTTTCATTATTTATTTCAAGTTTTATTCATCTCTTAAAGCAAGAAATACATAAACTACGCATGTTGTGTTAAATAATTTTCGCCATGTCACGTGGTATACTGTTGACCACGTCAGAGCAGAGTCGTCTACGTAGAGGACCAACGTCACTGCATTGCCGTGTACCTGGGGCCATTCCTACTCCCACATCATGCCCTCATTCTCTACGTGTGTACCGGCAGAGGGGAGGGGGAGCAGCTTTCACCTTGAAATTTGACCTATTGCTGCGGCGCGTAGCGCTGCAAATTTTAGCAGACATGATCATGAACGCCTCGTCTACGCATTGGGCTTGTCAGCTCAGAATTGCCGAACCTGGTGAGTGGCCCTTTAACTTGAACCACAACCATTAATTTCTATTCATTTTTATTTTTGAAAACAAATGGACCGAATATTTGGGAAACGACAAGTGCTTGGAAGAGAAACAAGATTGTGACTTGTGCAATTGAAACAGGTGTCTTTTCAGCTTTCATTGACATTTGCACTTGCATTTCAATAGTTAAATTATGCATACAGTCGCCTCTCTGTTGTCGCTATTTTAAGTTGGGCTTATTATGTAGTCTATGATTTTGTTGCACTTGTCTGGTAATTGTCTAATCTGAATGGCTGTGTTGCTTTCACGTGTGCAGGCGCACCTGTCTTGTGCCAATGGAGCGTCACCTCTGGCGGTGCGGGTTGAAATGATCCTGCCAAAGGTAAGGCAGCGACATTTTGGCGCTAAGAAAAATCATGGATTCAAACGCACTGTGCTTAAAAGTGAATCAGTCAATAAACATCGTTACACGCTATAGACCACTTTTATATTAGTTTCCGGAGTCTGAAATACATACCTACACCATCAAACGGTAGCGAGCCTCCATTCACTCGTGACAGGACTGACTGAACTAATTATTTGCCATGTAGAATTGCATGCATGTGGTTTCTGTAGCAAACAAAACTCAGCTTGTCAAGGATTCCAGTAGTACAAAAGGCTGAAATGGGCAAGCTTTACCATGTGGAAGAGTAAATATTGCCGCGAACCATGCATTGGGTTTGTTTATTTGTGTTTTGTTTTTTCGGCCTGGCTGCGCCGGCCTGTGCTATCGCCGTTTTCACAGCGTTTCGAACAAACGCTATCGAACAACGCTTCAGGCGTTGTTCGATAGAAACAACGCTTCAAGCGTTGTTTGTTAGAAACGCTGTTCGAACGAACAGCGTTTCTAACAAACGCTATCACGGCGTTCCCGATACAATTCGACTATTCGAGAAACCCTCGCGCCGAGGGATATAAATTCCCGCACAGCCGATGCCGCGTCATTCGATCGCCGACGCTCACTAGCGTGCCCGTCGTTTTGCTGGCCGCTGCTTCGCCGCCTGTGTATTTTTTCAGTTGTTAGGGGAGCACAGGTTCGCTCCAATAAACTTGTTTTCCTCATAGACAACTGCGTCGTCTTTTGCTGCGTGACATCTGGTGGAGGTGCGGGGTACATGAACCCTAAGCCATTGCCAAGCCGACAAGCACGCCCAACTCGTGTCAGCTGCCGACAGCAAGGCCTTCAGCCAGAGTTTGGACTGCTCCCGGATAAAAAAAGGAAAGAAGACGTAAAAACCACGATGATCAACGCAGGCACCATGACCAGCGCTACCAACCCTCCCGTCGTTCTGCAACAACCTCGTGAGCCCCCATCTTTCCGAGGATCTCCTGGTGAAGACCCGGAAGAGTGGCTGGAGAAGCTGGAGCGCATCTGCATCTTTAACAGGTGGGATGACGAAGAAACATTTCGTCATGTCTTCTTCTATTTGGAGGATGCAGCTTGAACGTGGTTTGAGAACCATGAAGGCTCCCTAAACGACTGGACTGTCTTTAAGAGCGAATTCGTCAAAACATGCGCTACGGTTGTGCGGAAAGAACGAGCCGCCCTTTTGTTGGAGACGCGAATGCAACACCCTAATGAAGGTGTTGTACTGTTCGCTGAGGAGATGAAGATGCTGTTCGGAGAGCTGACCCCGAAATGGCAGAAGAGAAGAAGGTGCGCTTTCTGATGCGGGGAGTTAAACAAGAGCTTTTCGCTGGACTCATCCGCAACCCCCCTAAGACCGTCGCTGAGTTCGTCACCGAGGCGTCGATGATCGAGAGGACCTTGGATATGGGTTTGCGGTCTGGTGGAGGTGAGGGGTACATGAACCCTAAGCCATTGCCAAGCCGACAAGCACGCCCAACTCGTGTCAGCCGCCGACAGCAAGGCACAACGGCGAGAAAATGAAAACCCTCCAACGATGCAAGACCGTGACTCACGACATGCCCTCATCCCGACGACACCCTGACAAGACCCCCGGAAACGACGACAGCTACGCTGCGCGACGCGTACCCGAAATGACGAAGCCCGCCGCTGAGAAGACGACGATGACGACGCATAGCGCCCGACCATCAACACGTGCAAGCCGCGATACGACGCCCCGACGCCCCGACGCACCCGAAATTCGAGGAAAGCGGTATCTGACGGCCAGTTGTCCATCGACGGCCTTGACGTAGTCACCCTCATCGACACGGGAGCCGACTACTCGGTCATGAGCGGGTTATTCGCGTCCAAGCTAAAGAAAGTTACGACCAGATGGGATGGTCCGCACATACGCACAGCAGGAGGCCACCTCGTGACCCCAAGTGGAATCTGCACATCGCGCGTCACCATAGACGGCACTACGTACCCTTCGGAGTTCGTCATTTTGCCTAACTGCTCCCGCGACGTAATTCTCGGAATGGACTTTTTGACGGACAATGGCGCAATAATTGATCTGCAGACCAGGTCGATAACGTTTTCTTCCGATCACTCCACGACGCCGCAGCCGAACCTCGGACACCGTGCTGCTGTAAGGATCGCCGACGATCACGTCACTCTGCCACCCCGCGCAAGCTTGATGATCGCCGTCTATTGTGAAGGTGCTGCTCCTGATGTCGACGCTATCGTGGAGACTGACCAAAGGTTGCTTCTAGACCGCGGTGTGTCTGTCGCAAGAGGCATTGCGCAGTTTAAGCAACGCAGATCCCACGTTTTGGTCACCAATTTCACCGAGGAGTACCAGCATCTAAACAAGGGCGCTGCAATTGCGTTCCTCGAAGAAACGCAAGAAGCGAGTCAAGTGATCACGGTCGCCACCTTTGAACGCGCACGCGCAGATGCTTCCGGGCTGCCACGTCCTTTCGACATGAACCCGGCGCTGTCGCAAGAAAATCGGGACAGATTACTGGAGTTGCTCCGTCGCTACAGCGAGTGTTTTTCCTCGAACTCGAAGTTACGTCAGACACCTTTGGCGAAGCACCAGATAATAACCGAAGATGGAGCCCGACCTACCAGACAGTCACCGTACCGCGTTTCTTCACACGAGCGCGAAGCCATCCGAACTCAAGTTGATGACATGCTCAGCGACGACATAATACAGCCATCAAAAAGTCCGTGGGCTGCGCCGGTTGCACTCGTGAAGAAAAAAGATGGCACTTTAAGATTCTGCGTTGGCTACCGGAGACTAAACAAAATCACCAAAAAGGACATGTACCCCCTGCCACGAATCGACGACGCCCTCGACCACCTCTGCCACGCCAAGTACTTCTCATCCATGGATCTGAAGACCGGCTACTGGCAAATTGAAGTGGACGAGAGAGACCGAGAGAAGACTGCATTTATAACCCCGGACGGTCTGTACGAGTTCAAGGTGATGCCGTTTGGGCTGTGCACGGCGCCCGCAACGTTTCAGAGAGTCATGGACACTGTGCTAGCAGGCCTGAAGTGGCACACTTGCCTCGTATACCTCGACGACGTTGTCGTATTCGCCCGGACTTTCGACGAACACCTCACAAGGTTGGAATCTGTACTCGAGGCCATTCGTACGTCGGGGTTAACGCTGAAGCCTGAGAAGTGCCGTTACGCGTACGAGGAACTCAAGTTCTTGGGTCACGTCGTGAACGCCGCGGGAGCCCTACCTGACCCGGCAAAAACATCAGCCATTGCGAACTTCCCAAGGCCGAAAGATAAGAAGGGTGTGCGAAGGTTTCTCGGACTGTGCGCATACTACCGGCACTTCGTCGCAAACTTCGCACGCATTGCAGAGCCACTCACGCGCCTGACGAAAGAAAGCACCCCTTTCAGCTGGGAAAACGACCAAGAAAAGGCATTCTGCGAGCTGCAACAACGCCTGCAAAACCCGCCCGTGCTCGCTCATTTCGACGAAAATGCCGAAACGGAAATGCACACGGACGCCAGTGATATCGGTTTGGGTGCCGTCCTCGTCCAAAAGCAAAGCGGTTACGAAAAGGTAATCGCCTGTGCAAGCCGTGGTCTGTCGAAGGAGGAGAGAAACTACTCTGCCTCCGAGAAAGAGTGCCTGGCTATCATATGGGCCATTTCCAAATTTCGCCCATACGTCTATGGTAGACCGTTTAAGGTTGTGACAGACCATCATGCGCTGTGTTGGCTCGCCAATTTGATGGACCCCTCTGGCCGTCTTGGGCGGTGGAGCTTGCGCCTGCAAGAGTTTGGCGTTACAATATTCTACAAATCCGGCAGGAAACACTCTGACGCCGACTGCCTGTCCCGCGCCCCCGTCGACCCACCACCACAGGACTCCGATGAAGACAGCGCGTTCTTCGGAGTCGTGACAGAGAGCGACCTAGCCGCCCAGCAGCGTGCCGACCCTGACCTCCGTGCCATGATCGTCTACCTCGAAGGACCCAACGTCGCCGTGCCTAGGGCGTTCAAGCGCAACTTACCAGCATTCAGCCTGAAAAACTCTATCCTAGTGAAGAAGAATTTCAACCCCGGAACGAGAACGAATTATCTACTTGTCGTCCCCGCAGACCTTCGTGACGAAATTTTGGAAGCATGCCACGACGACCCGTCTTCCAGACATCTCGGAACAGCTCGCACGATTACAAAAATCAAGGCGAAATACTTCTGGCCCCGCCTTACATCCGATGTCACCCACTACGTTCGGAGCTGCCGTGACTGCCAGCGACGAAAAACACCACCGACGAGACCAGCCGGACTTCTGCAGCCGATCGCCGTCCCAACGAGGCCCTTCCAACAGATCGGAATGGACCATCTGGGCCCGTTCTCTACATCCCGATCCGCGAACAAATGGATTGTCGTAGCGACTAACTACATGACGCGCTACGCAGAGACCACCGCTCTTCCTAGGGGAACTGCACAAGAAGTTGCAAAGTTCTTTATTAACCAAATTGTGCTGCGACATGGAGCCCCTGAGGTCCTAATCACGGACCGCGGAACGACCTTCACTGCGGAGCTCATGCTAGGAATCTTACGCTACAGCAACACAGATCACCGAAGAACGACGACGTACCACCCCCAAACGAATGGACTAACGGAATGGCTCAATAAGACAATCGCGGATATGCTGTCTATGTACGTCGACGTTGAACATAAGACGTGGGACGAAGTCCTCCCGTACGTCACGTTTGCGTACAACACGGCTATTCAAGAAACCACGCAGATGACACCGTTCGAGCTCGTCTACGGAAGACGGCCGACTACGATGCTTGACGCCATGCTTCCGCACGTAGAAGACGACGACCTCAACGCCGACGTCCAAGGATACCTCCAACGTGCGTAGGAGGCCCGCCAGCTTGCTCGAGCTCGTATAACGGACCAGCAACTGGTGGATGCCGGACGCTACAATCTCCGACGCCGAGACGCCGAGTACCATC